ACTGTTGACATTGAAGTTTTCAGTCTTCAATATTTGAGTGAGTCATGCTTTGGAAATGACAATTATAATTTTTTATTACCTAACCTTTGAGTTGTTTCGTTTTTCATTTACCCAACCTTTTACTCACTCAAAATTTTGTTTACCCAACCCTTTTCTCTTCGGTGCCACCCCCCGCCATAAATAATGACCGCTCCCTAAATACAGCAGGATATGCTGCTGATAAATAATAATAAATTTGAGAACTTACATTGCGTCCATATTTAATCACGTGCTCATGCGAGAATGCACCACTCGTCCCTTCTTTATGACGTGTTTTATCACGTGATCATGCCCACCAAACTGATATATTAAATGTTCCCATCTGGAAAACACGAACATTATCTTTCAGCCCGACATAGCATTAAACATAAACAGCTCATTGTAGAATACTACCTACCACATAGCTTATTGTAGAATACTACCTACACTGGACCACCACGTTTGAGATATCTTTTTCAGGTAGTTCAGACACAAATCACAACAGCTTATTGTAGAATACTGCCTACACTGGACCACTACGTTTGAGATATCTTTTTCAGGTAGTTCAGACACAAATCACAACAGCTTATTGTAGAATACTACCTACACTGGACCACCACGTTTGAGATATCTTTTTCAGGTAGTTCAGACACAAATCACAACAGCTTATTGTAGAATACTGCCTACACTGGACCACTACGTTTGAGATATCTTTTTCAGGTAGTTCAGACACAAATCACAACAGCTTATTGTAGAATACTACCTACACTGGACCACCACGTTTGAGATATCTTTTTCAGGTAGTTCAGACACAAATCACAACAGCTTATTGTAGAATACTGCCTACACTGGACCACTACGTTTGAGATATCTTTTTCAGGTAGTTCAGACACAAATCACAACAGCTTATTGTAGAATACTACCTACACTGGACCACCACGTTTGAGATATCTTTTTCAGGTAGTTCAGACACAAATCACAACAGCTTATTGTAGAATACTGCCTACACTGGACCACTACGTTTGAGATATCTTTTTCAGGTAGTTCAGACACAAATCACAACAGCTTATTGTAGAATACTACCTACACTGGACCACCACGTTTGAGATATCTTTTTCAGGTAGTTCAGACACAAATCACAACAGCTTATTGTAGAATACTGCCTACACTGGACCACTACGTTTGAGATATCTTTTTCAGGTAGTTCAGACACAAATCACAACAGCTTATTGTAGAATACTACCTACACTGGACCACCACGTTTGAGATATCTTTTTCAGGTAGTTCAGACACAAATCACAACAGCTTATTGTAGAATACTACCTACACTGGACCACCACGTTTGACATATCTTTCTCAGGTAGTTCAGACATAAACCACATCGCTTATTGTACAGAATATTATCTCCACTACACCCCCACTTAATTGTATCTACAAATACTACCTACACTGGACCACCACGTTTGACATATCTTTCTCAGGTAGTTCAGACATAAACCACATCGCTTATTGTACAGAATATTATCTCCACTACACCCCCACTTAATTGTATCTACAAACTGTATCTTATGAACAATGTATCTTATTACTACCTTGGACAATCCAGGATTAACATATCAGCAACTTTTCCGACCTCCAGAGAACCATGAGAATGAGATCGTCCTATTGACGCTGCAGCATTGATTGTGCTGGCTACAAGTGCCTCGTTCATTGTCATACCAAATGTCACACATGCCAGATGCATCACTAGGGGCTTCAAAGAAAATGTGGAGACCGTAAATGAATTATAAAGTCTTAAATAGTTTTTGATGAAGAGTTTTTTCATCCGCCAGGGTAAATTTCCAGTTTATGAAACAAAACACTTGAAATTTGGAAGTTCATGCATACATACCATGGAAAGACAGAAGGCATTTGGATTGAAGTCTGAGCCAAGTGCTACTGCACATCCTGGAATCAGGAAATGGTAATAATTTATCATTTTACACTGGGAAAATATATAAGTGATGGTGGTGATGGTAGTGATGGTGATGATGGTGGCAGTGGTGGTGATTACAATGATGATGATGGTAGTGATGTTGGTTATGGTGAGAATGGTGGTAGTGATGGTGATGACATTGGTGGTGGTGGTAGTGATGTTGGTTATGGTGAGAATGGTGGTTATGGTGAGAATGGTGCTTATGGTGATAATGGTGGCAGTGATGGTGATGACATTGGTGGTGGTGGTGATGATGGCATCACAATATCCAGTGCCATCATAACTACTGATGGTGGACAGTGATAGTTGGTGAACATGGTGATGGTGGTGATAAAGGTGACCATTATCAACACTTACCATGCTCTATCATCTTTCTCACAGGGGGTGGTTTAAGTTTCAAGATGTATGCAGTAGTTGGTAACACAACTCCCACAGTTGAACTGGTGCCCATCATTTCAATTCCTTTATCACTGATTTCTTCCAGATGACTGGCAGCTCTTGCCCCCAGTGACACTCCTAACTACAAACAAAATGAACTCTTAAT